CAGGACAGATCCCATTATGGTTGCTGTTGCACAAGGAGCAAAGTGGCCAATTCCATTGATTCACTGGTCTCCCTAGTTAATGTCCTAGACAATAAATGGAAGCAATTAAGTAGAGTCATTAAGAATATGCATGACCTGCATGAGAGTCATGAATTTGCTGTGTAGTAGCTGTGTGATCTAGTACAGTTTCTCTGATCTGCAAGTCTCTCTTCTGTAAAATTGGATAATAATAGGGCCTACTATTAGATTGCCATGAGAGTTAAATTAGATAGCGCACAGAAATAGTAAAGGACTAGTCCAAAGCAAATGTTCCGTAACAGTTAACTGCTTCCTAATATAATGAGTTTTGTTATTCTCTTCACTACTCAATATCACTTTCTAAGAAAGCCTTTACTGACCCTTGAATTAAGGCACCCCATTTTAAGATCTCATTGTTGTGTACTGCTCCTTTATTAGACTACATATATTGCAGTGTTTTAGTTTAAGATGTGATTACTTGATTAACGTTTATGGTGACTACTAGGTTCTAAGCTCAGTAAAGATAGGGGTGGGATCTATTATGCTCACCCTTTTGTCCCCAATACTTGGCTCAGTGCCCAGCACAAGACAGATTTCTATAAATATTTATTGAAGGAATGAATAAAATATTCATTTGCTGGCTTGGCAAAGCATAGTTTTACTCCATTATATAATTTATGTGAATGTCCTCCAGCACTTGGTACTCAAAGTATAATCTGGGCCTGGGATTGCAACCTCACCTGGAAGCTTGTTGACCATGCAGGCCATGCAGTGTCAAGGCCTCATTCCAGGCAGGCCAATGGACCCCAAACATACACTTTACCAAACCTCCAGGTAATTCGTACGTTTCTTGAAGTTTTAGAAGTATGGACATCTGCCTAGTTTTTATCAGCCCAGTGTGAAAAGAGAGGCAGGGGATGGGAGGGAAGGAAGCAGTGGGGAAAAGACAATCACTAATTTCTTGCAGGAAACAGATCTCACTCCTACAATTCCAGTTCAATGTTATACCTCGTGCAAGCACTATTACAAATGTTATCATTTCCAAAAATGCATTTTAATTTATTTTCAGCTCAGCTAAGTTGCCCTTATTTCCTTTTTCACATATGATTTTTTTCCAGAAGAATATTTTAGTCTCCATTGAATAATTTATTTCAGAGAATTTACATCCTAAAATATTCTCCGGAGGAAACAGAAACACCATCTGGACCCACTACTGGAAAAACAGCCCTAGTCCAAGAAGCAGGCTGTCATTTTAGTTATTGAGTTGCAGACTTTGAATGCCTGCTTGCCCACCACAACCCCAGAAAGAGGAGAGAAAAACGCACATCGAATTCTCTTCTATAACAGGACCAAAGCTGCTCCATTCCAATAGCCCAAAGAGATTGCAGAAATATGCATGCTACCCAGTTGACCCCTAAAAAAAATTATAGCCCAGCTTTTTAATGAAAAGGTTATTATTTATAGAAATTTATTCCTATTTTTGAATGGTAAAGTCCATCCATGATTGGATAATGATATACCAGAACTTGAAGAGATTCGTGAATATCTGCCTGTGTTCAGACTCCTACTTTTTGCAACGCCTGATTTCATAATTCCCTTTGCTGCTGTGCCCTGTGCTCTCAAGGGAAAAAAATGGACCTGGACAAAACCTACATACATTCACTCAACTTGGTCCTCCTTGTAGTAGAGCACTGAATTGGTAAGGCCCAGATAGGAGTTCAGAGAAATCCAGAAGCTGCTGAATCTGTAGAACCAACTTTCAGAATGGCTATGTCCCTGGAGCTACAGTCCCCTCCTCCCTTTTTCTTTAGGCTCCCCCAGGTGACAGATATGGACAGTGCTAAGAAGAGGATGATTGGACCCTCCCTGGTGGTACAACAGGTTAGGACACAGCACCTCAAGCTAGCCACAGCAGCCTCAGTGTGAGTTCAATCCCCGGCTCTGGGATTGCCATGCCACATGGCATGGCAGACCTTTTCTGACCCACCCGCTGTGCATGTCAGCATTGTACTTTTTCAGTCTGCCTGGTCTGCTCCCCTCTCTGTCTTTGGTGATTCCTCTCATTGCCCCTACACCTCTGGCCTATACCCCAATTCAGTATGCATAAATAAGTACATCTTTTTAAAAAAGAGGATGATTGACATTGGGGGTATAAACTAGAGATCAAAGCTGAAATAATAGTTGTCCTGAAGGTCTAGTTTTACAAGCAGTATTCATTTTTTAGATGTCTTTGGTGTCCTCCCTACAGTTATTATAAAAATACCAATTTCTTTTGCCATCCAGGCATTTTGTTAGCAGTCCCAGCCAAATTTTGGGGAAAGGATTAAAATGATTCTCAAAGCATTGAATCTTGCTGCAGTGGCAATGGGATGTCCCTAGAAATTACCTCCTGGCCCTCAGTCTTGAGCTGCTTTATCAGAACAGCAATGTCAAGGAGAAAGAAGCACTCAGATTGATGAGGAGTCAGGAAAAGGAGTCTTAATCTGGTAGTCTTGGCGCCAAGCATAAGATAGTCTCTAAACTGTAGCAAAGAGAGGAACAGTTCCAAGATGTGTGTTGGGTATTTCTGCAGTTCAAAGTTTAGATGGACACAAAGTGAATCCTCCTACCATCTGAGAGACTTTGTTGATGGATGAAGTTGGTTTGACTAGAGTGAGGGCGAAAAGGGAGACCAGTGTGGACTGAAACTCAAAAAGTAAGAGCAGTTTAGTAGCTGTGAACATCACAGATGTGGTATTACTGATGCTTGTTGAATTAGGCAGCTCTCTACTGCAGAAGGCCCTACACACTTTGTGACATTTCTATAAAATGTTCAGTTGCTTTAGTACTTTACACTGCTACCAGCTGTCTTGCCGCACTTCAATTTTATGAAAAATGACAAGAGCTTTATAGTTACTTAACTATTCATCACAGATCACTGTTTACTTAAAGACGGTGATTAAAAATGAGGCTCCACATTAGAATTACCTTGGAGTCTCAATGCCTAGGTCATACCTCATATCAACTAAATCTGAATGTCAGGAAGGAGGGGTTTTTTGGTTTTTGTTTTTTTAGTTTTTCAGGTAATTCTAATGTGGAGTCAAGTTTGGAAACCAAATTATAGTTTAAAAATGGTGAAGCCTTGGCAGTGAAGTGTTTGTGTTGGGGTAGGGAGGGTGGGGCATGCCTGCAGTGGACAGATCTAACAAACCTTGGAAATGAGAGATCAGACCCTTGCAATGGGGAACTTGGGAACATAGCACAGAAGTTCTCGGCACCTTTTTGGATAATTTTTTAAAAAAAGATTTATTTGGGCCCTCCATGGTGGCGCAGCGGGTTAAAGCACAGCACTAAGAAGCTAAAGCCACTTCCACATGAGTTCGATTCCCGCCTGCCCCGGAGGTGACCACATGGCGTGGCAGACCTCTCCTGACCCACCCACTGCTCCCCTCTGCAGTGTACTTCATCAGTCTGCCTTTTCTGCTCCCCACTCTGTCTCTGGTGAAGCCTCTCACCGCCCCTGAGCCTCTGGCCTGTACCCCAGTTCTGTATGAATAAATAAATAAATCTTTAAAAAAAAAAAAGATTTATTTGTTTACACATATAAAACTGGGATATAGGCCAGAGGTGCAGGAGGTGAGGATTCACCAGAGACAGTGGAGAGAAGAACAGGCAGATCAATGAAGTACATTGCTGAGGGGAGCAGTGGGGAGGTCAGCAGAGGTCTGCCATGCCATGTGGATCACCTCCCTGGCCTGGAATCGAACTCATGCTGCAATGGCTGTGATAACTTCATAGTGCTATGCTTTAGCCCGTTGTTCCACTAGGGAAGGCCCCTTTTTGCATAACATATGAAACATTTCCATAAAGTCTAATTTGCTTATATTCACCAGGATATAGTGTAGCTAAGCCTAGAACCCTGATCTTTTTAAACATTTCAAATATTACATTCACGTTCTCTGTACCAGCAATGCAAGTTACTCCTGCTGTGATGATAGTGCTGGTGATAATGGTGACTTTATTATAAGCAGCAATAGAACTTTCACTGTGGGCTCACTCTGGTCAGGTGCTTTCCTAAGAACTATACACTTATTTCTCTTTTAATCATCCCTTAAAGACTGAAATACATACAATTAGCATTTCTGTACAGTTAGACTTAAAAAGAGATTAAATATCTTACCCAAAGCTATACAACTAGCATGTGTCATATGTCAGATTTTACAGCAGAGAGCTGAAACCTTTTTTGGCATGCAGTGATGAACTAGGTTAATGAGTCAGTGACCCACTTTTTGATTACCATTACGTTATTTTGGCATGACTATGGGAGGCCTACAATATTTTGTATAAAATATTTGCTGAATTACACATTTTTTTTTTTGCCATCTCAGCCCAGTACTGAAAATAGATAAAGTGATGACTACAGTATAATAGAGGATGCCTAAGGTGTCCAAACCTGGGGCAAGTAATTCTGCTGCAGTGAAGAGAAAGTTGTTTTGTTGGGGGCTGAGGAGCTGGGAAGGGGGGTTAATGCAGGAGAGAAGATTCAGAAGGATTTTAAAGACTGTGTAGAAGATTGCCAGAAAGAAAAGAAAGAAGCACAAGAAATGGAGGGAAAGATGAACCCAGCACACAGAGATGAAAATGTAAGGAAGTTTGGCAAAACAGTCAATTTGTATCAATGGTTCTCAAAATTAATTGGGCGTTGAAATCACTTGTTAAAACAGATTACTGGGTCCAATCTCCAAAGCTTGATTTGGTAAGGCTGTTTGTGACCAAGAATTTGCATTTCTTTTTTTTTTTTTTAAGATTCATTTATTTATGCATACAAAACTGGATTACAGGCCAGAGGCCCAGGGGTGGTGAATGGAGAGCAGAACAGGCAGATCAATGAAGAATGCTGCCGAAGGAAGCAGCAAGCGAAACAGCAGAGGTCTGCAGCGTCATGTGAATCACCTCCGGGGCCGGGGATCAAACTCGCACCAAAGTGGCTGTGGCTGGCTTGCAGTGCTGCACCTCAATCAGCTGTGCCATCAGGGAGGGCCCAAGAATTTTCATTTCTAGAGTTCTTAGGTGAAGTTGACCCTTCTTGCATGGATCATAGAAGGATCTATGTGGGTCCGCACAGAGACTCTGGAAAGCCCTGCCATGTGTGTGTGCATTTAAGCTTGCTGAAGTCAGCAAGAATTGCACCAAGAGATGACTTCCCAGGGAGGTGACGATTTCCATTTTTCCTGCAAGGAGTAATGGTTAAATTTTACTACTAGCTTGGGGAACAATTCATATGAAGCTGTTTAATGGGAGGAAGCAGAGAAAACACAACCTGAGATTTGATTGCATTTCTGCCCCATCAATGCCCCGTGCACGCTCAGTGAGGGTCGGTGGAGCGAAACACTCAAGTTCTTTTGTTGTGCTAGCAAGTGTTTGCCTCCAGTTCACAGAGAAGATGGCACATTTCACAGTTCTTCCTCCAGTGTTGGCACTGTGTCTGCTCACCCCAGATGAGTTCCTGTGTTGAACACCAAGATCATATGTTGCTCACCAGTGGCCCCAAGTGCGAGGGGACTTGCTCTCACCAGGTAGAAAGAGCTTTGGAAAGCCAGACTCAGTTGGATGAGACTGGGTCAGATGACACCCTTGTGAAATTCTTCCTTTTCCGCCACTTCAATTCAGTTATCATGCTTTGCTTCTTTCATGTTCCAAGATGGAAAAACTATGTTGTATTTACCATTGTTCTCTAACCCCTTCAAATGGGGAGATCAACTCTGAATGGCCTGCGTCCAAATTTTTCTCTTTTTTTGTCGTGGTCCCCTAACCTGGACAGATACTAACTAGATCTACAGGTCCTATATATCCCGGTAATTGGGGAACAGGAAGAATCTAGCTCTAATCTCCACTTTTTTCACTAGGTTGCTGTGCTAGCTGATGGCCAACAGCTGTGTGTATTACATTCCCGGCAGGGGCCCTTCCCAGCCCCACCTTTACTGCCAGAATCAACAGAGAGGGGTGGGAATCGCCTACCAGAGAACAAGAAAGGAAACAGAGCTGTGTTTTTTGGGTTCTGTGTTTCTAAGGCAGTTCCCCATTACACCATTGTAATTGCTCGGAAAACCTCTAGAAGGCTGCTAAGTGGTACCCTTAGTTACTGGGCAATATGGTGCTGGTAACACCAGCTTTCATTTTGGGGTTTTCATTTTCTTGCTTTTGTTCAGGAAGAAGGATAGAGAAATGGTCTAAAAGGTAACTATCACCTGAGACAGGATGAACCAGCAACAAGATTTTGCTGTGTATTATGGTGTATATGTTTGTGTGTGGGGGGCGGGGGGGGGAGAGTTGAAGCTTTATTATCAATATTATTGATGAAACTCCAGATTCCTTTTCCAGAGATGAGGTATTTTTGTCATCATGTCTATTATCCCTCACAAGTACCCAATTAGGGGAGATTGTCGCTACAGAGCAGGTTGATTAAATTCACAGATTTATTACAAAAACACTTTGGGAGTTGTGGAAAATGAGTTTCTCTGCTGAGCTTCCTTGCATTAAAAAAAAAAAAAAAACTGCAACCCTTTACCTTGGAATTTCCATCTATAACAGGTCATAAAATATCATAATCTTGCAGGCAGTTTACTCTTCTCCAGAGGCTCAAGATACTTCTTCCAGACTCATAGTAGCTCCCAAAGGGTTGGTGATGTCTTCGGTGTTGGTGGGACACCCGGACCCGGAGCAAGTAGACAGACTTCTGTGTACCTTACAGATAATTTAAGCTGAAGATCCTTGTTTTTACTTGGTTCCCAGAAAAAGTGCTGTAAGTAGACATGATGTAGAATCTCATTTTTCCATAGAAATGAGTATGCATTCCTGACCCTAAACCTGACACCCAGAATGTAATCAAAAGCACACAAGTACCCTTTCAAACTTTAAATTTTCTAACAAGGATATCCAGGATGACACTCCCCAACCCCAAAGTCTAAGGTTTATTTATTTAAGGCAGTGTTCCTGAATTGTTTCTTGCAAACATTAACCTCAGGAGACCCCGTGGAATAAAAGGGTTTATTGTGGTAAAGTTAGGATAGTGCTCTACTGTGGGCTGTCTCCTGACTCGGTCCTTATTTACATGTTAAAAATAAGAGCTCTTACTGAAAGTCTACCTGAGTAAAACATAATCAAGTCCCTTTTTGTTTTTCATTTCCTCAAGTCTTCAAAATATAGTCCTGAGAAGTGGATACTAATGTATGTGATGTTGTACTGCAGGAAATGACGGGTAGGGTAATTAAATGAGTTGCTCAGTTAAAGTAAAAAAGGTGGGCAACTAGGATGAGGGTTCACCATCACTCATTTCTGAGTCTGAACTACGAACTGTTACGCTTTATCATCCTAGTAACTGTGTAGCTTTCTCAAACTGCTATTATTGTGTTTCTTTCATGGTTGCTTTTTTACACAATTGAGTTCATGCCTACCTGTAATAGTTGGTCCTCTTTTCCTGGTATCTTTAATTTTTATTTATGTTATCAATAGAGCCAGCATGCTACCACTTTAGGTAATAGCTTTTCCTAGCATCAAGCTTTTATGCTCTCACCTTATTTGGCCTTTGTATAACTGCTTCAAGCGCCCTTAAATGGATTTTCATCTGTATCTTTGATAGTTTATAGATAAACAACGATGTGAGAAAGACAGGGTGTGGCAGGGTTGACTTACCCTGCCTTTAGCTAGGGTGTGTTCACCTGCAAAATGAACTTGAGTGAGATTAAAAGTAGGATAACAAATGATGCCCACACTATAGAATTAACACTTCTGTTGGGTGGGATTGAGATTTTTTTATACCACCTGGATCTTAATAACTATTCAATGATGTTATTTTATCTGGAAGGTGTGTGTTGGGAAGCAGGCTGTGATGAGGAGAGGAAAAGACAGAAAATGATTCTGTACCTTTCCTGTTCATCCTAGGAAATCATTCATTAAATATGGAACTGGGTTGCCCACAAATCACCTTATCAAAGCATGTGCTTGCTCAGGAAATGCGCTGTTTGTGAGTGGAGAAGAGTGTGCATTGTTAACAGTGGCCCCGGGCTCAGCAGAGCCAAAAGGTAGCTCTGCTACCTTGGTTCTAGAAGACTGCACGGGGTGAGGTGCCCAAATTGTGTGTGAGCTCCATAGTGCTAGACCCCACCCAAATAAACTTCATATAGCGAGTCCTTAATTTAATGAGGCTAAGACTGTAACTCTACAGTAATGCAAAAGCGATAGGCAGTAGAAACCAAGCTTCAGCTTTTGAATTGTGGTCTTTTCCCAGTCTAGAGACAGGCTGAAGTTACTCTGGTGAATCTGAGCAGAGGTAGCTAGCTGCTGTTGGCTATCCACCATGCAGTTATGAGAATAAATAGTCTATCATTCTGTATTATGAACTACCTTGTTTAGGTTTTGTGTTTTCGCATCCCATGATCCCTACAAAAAGCTCACCTGTGTGGCCCAAGTCTGGTGAGAAGAAAAGGAAGGCACTTAGTTACTCCTGAGATGAAACTCAACATAATTGCCCTAACGTAAGTGTTCTGAACACATAGGTGCAGTTAAACTTGGCTGTTTGCTATTTGGTAGGTGAGGTGTATAAAATGTATTTTCGGCTCTTGGTGGGCTTACCAGGATGTAGCTTCAAGTTAAGGTGAGAAGTATCTGCACATGTCCGAGTTCTCTGAGAGCCTACACGTGAAAGGGTTTACCCTCCCACTGCCCCCTTGATCAGTCAGAAATAATTTAATGAGTCCCTACTCTGAACTCAGTATTTCCTTTATACACAGATCTATTGCCCCATGTGGCTGGATGGTGTTTGAGGAAGTTTTTTTGCTGGTAGAACTGTGGTTAACTTTCCCCCATGGATTGTCTCTGTCCATACCCTTTACAGCTTCACAAGGTGCAGCCTGCTACTAGCTGTGATTTACAAAAGAGCAAGCTGAGGCCACGGGAGGAAAGCTCATTTGTTAAAAGACGCACAAGCTAGTAAACTCACCCTCTTGAATTCTAGAGCCTGTGAGCAGGCAAGTGGTTGGGAGCTCCTCCCTGCTATTCTTGTGGGCTAAATAGAGTCTGGCTAGGGAATGCAGATAAAGAAGAAAACTGCTTGCTTCACGGTTTAAAAACAAATGTTACTCCTGATCAGGTAGGTGGGAATTCTGACTCTGCTAGAAGAAAAAAAAAGGGGGGGGTGATATTATTTATTTTAGGGCAAACACTATTATATGGATATAAATTCGGGGTAAAAGTGCCAAGAACACCAACGTTGCCTGCAGCCTAAACAGACCTTCTCTAGCTTGGCCATGAGTGAAAAATTAGAATTTTCTCTTTATTTCTCTGCTCTACAAAAGGAACTTGAGATTGTTCTGAAATGTTATTTAATTATTTCAAAACATGTAGTCAGTCCATTTTAGGTGATGATTAGTAACCTCATGCGAATGAAAATATCAGGATAAAGTGAATGAGATGAGGAAAAGTATACTACTTCTATACACTGAAAGTTTTAAATATCAGTGAGAAGCTATTTAGTAATAATAATACTTTAAAAAAATAATAATACTTTCCTCACCCCAGGAAAAGGCATGGGCGAACCTTAAATGTACTCAGACACCAATCTGAAAAGGCTATGTGATTCCCAACTACAGGAACTCTGAAAAGGCAAACTTACAGAGAAAGACTTGTAGGGGGGTGGACAGGTGAGGCACAGGGCATTCTCAGTGAAGCTGTTCTATATGGCCCCACAATGGTGAGCACACATCATTGCGTTTATCCAGACACAGAGAAGATACAGTGTAGAGTAAACTCTATTGTAAATCATGGTCTTTAGCTAATGATTAGTATCAGCACACCAGTTAAAACAGATACAGCATGTTAATGCACACATGGAAGATATTAATAAGAAGCAAAGCTGAGGAAGAGTGAGGGCGGAGATGGGAACTCTTGTACTTCCTGTCCAAGTGTTTTGTAAACTTAAAACTGCCCGGAAAAAAAAATATTTTTTAAAGCAGAAGAGAATTATGCTGTTTTTCAGCATCATAGCACTTCTGCAGATGATCATGCTCATGTGGGGGGAGGAAAATGATAATTCCCTCTGCTTGATACCAACGTGGCGCTCAGATTGTGACAACCGAAGAATATATGAAAGGTCAACTGAAACGTCTCAGTGGGTTGAAAAGACAAAGTGGACTTTGTGTCACAATAGAACTCATCCCATGGAGCTGCGGAGATGGCAAGAGATAAAACAATACTCTTTATCGCTAGCAGATTAACCAGCAAGGACTTGTTCTTTGTATTTATCCTATAGGCAGCTAAGGACAATAAGCCCTTTGTCCTTACACCTGTTGAAGGGGGAAGGAGCCCTCACAGAGGCCTGGTGAGGTTTATGTGAGGCCATGCAGTTCAGATTTCTTACCTGCATCTCTGAAGGTACATCCTATTTCATAATATGCCTTCCAGCAAAGGAAGCTGGAAACCAAGCCCTCAGCGTTCAAAGGGAAAGAAACTGGTCCAAGCTTTACTTGAGAAGAATAATAAAATACCGAAATCCGTGTCAGGGGCAATATGACAAAGCTGTGGCATGTTCAGCTTCCAACCCGACGCCAACCACAGTTCAGAGTGTCTTCCTCTTGTACTCGGCTTCTTAGCTCAGCTCCAGGCATAGAGGAAGGCTTGGTTAGTGCTGAGGTTTGCTGAATGAATGAATATCCAGGATTTTACAAAAAGAGAGAGAGAGAGACAAGACAGACAGAAAGGGAGAATTGCAAAATGATTCACAAAGACTGACCTTTGATTTTCCTACTGTTTCACTAAAGTTTCATATTTACATTTGTCTGTGAGCACGTCTGAGGGAGGCTTTCTTTATTCTAACCCCTGTCTGGAGTGGGGCCTGTTGAATATTGATCCTCTTCTTTTAGGAACAACATGCCAATTTGGGGGTGACTCACCTTTCCCTATTCTCAGTGAGTGAGGTTTGAACGTGACACTTCCTTTTGGCACAAAGGAAAGCTCTGGCCTGCGACCCACCAATCAGTACAGAGCTTCCTGTGGGCCAGGGTGGAATTTACAGAAGGACTCATCACTCAAGTTGGAGCTGTGAGAATTCCACCTGGGATTTTGCTGGCATGATATGAAAAGTGTTCATTTTCTGCTGGGATTGCTAAACTGGTAAGGGAAAGCCTAAAGTTCCTAATGGACTTATTAGCCACCACCTGCAGAGAGGGGGAAATCTCCTTGAAATAAAAAAAAACTTAGGGGAAAAAAAAAAAACTGAGGTGAAAAGATGAATGAACAAGTCCCACTGAAAATATTTGAACAGTGTGAGCCAGCCAAGCCAAAAGTCAGCATATTACTTGGCTCTTCAATGAAATGGGTTAGTAAATTCTCAGGATTTCAACTACCTTACAACCAATTATTTATAACGGTGTCCATTTCCCTTCTACTGAAATTCTGGGTCACTACTGTTCTTTAAGATATCCATGTCCTCCATGTTAGAAAGCAAAGTTCCAACTCGGATAAGTTTTGTCCAGAACTTCTACCACAACTTCCAGCCTAGTTACACCTCTAGAAGGAAAAAAGATAACATCTGAAATAAAAAGGCCTTGAAATACCGCTTCCAAATTCCAATAAAAGACAGAATCCTCCTTTGTTGAACATCTCACTTCACCATGAACTCTAAATCTTTTCATGGCTTAGAAAAAGTTGGCACATGGAAGAGTCTTGCTGAACAGATTGAGACTTCAGAGAGGGGGCCCTCGGGCCATGCCTAGCACTCCTCCTGAAGACATGGCCATACCACTGCCTTCGCCCTCCATGAGCACAGGTTGGGATTTAAAAATCCCTTTACTATTCCTGAATGAGACTAAAGGCTGAAAAAAATTGCTCTGCAGCTCTTCACCCCACTCTAGCCATTAACTATAAAAAGAACTAACAGCTACTAAGTTCTGTGGCAGTAAGTGTGGTGCAAAATATTCTTGCACATCAACTCTTTTAAGCCTCATCACAAGTCTATATGATAAACTATTATAATCACATTTTCCAATTGAAGAATTGGGGGCTAGAAAATGTATCGAACCACCCCTGGATCACTGAGCAAGGTAAAGACCCAAGTAGGACTGCCCAGGCTCCCGATCACAGAACAATGATGTCTCTGTTAATAAAAAACAGATCATGGCTTTTGAAACATGGATAGTAATGTTAGGGCTGGAAGGAAGCTTAAAATCATTTAGTCCAATGAAAAAACTAAGGTTGAGGGAAAAAAGTGATGTCTCCCGAGTCACCTAACAAGCTGAAGATGTAGGCACTAAAATCTACTGATACTCCAGTTCTTTCTGCCACGTTCTCCTGACACTTTAGGATCTGACTACACACTGCCCACATACTCAGTTATTCAACAGGCACCACCCTTACAGACACACCAGTTGCTGGAATTCTAAACTATGTCCAGACCAGTTAGTCAATGACACCATCCTGACACTCTCTCCCTTCCAGACTCTTGGATTGCCCCACAATTGAGAAATTAAAGGGCTGATGTCTGCCCTTATGGCCAGCCTCCATTCTGATTATTCAACCCTCCCCCCACTCCAGTTAAGGAGTTTTAATATGAGCCTTAACAGAAAAGCTGGTACAGAGACAACTTCCCTACCAGTTTAGGTGACCTTCATGAGTAACTGATGAAAGCTAAGCATACCAACTGCACACAAGATAATTCAGGATCGGAGAGGAGAAAATGCAGCCCCAGCGTGCAAGGATTCTGATGAGACCTTTTCATCCCCTTCCAGGTGATGGGTTAAGACATATCCTCCCCAGAGAGAGAAACTATTCAGGACATCTGAATTCTCAGTCAGAGGCAAGAAGGGTTTTGCACTTTCACCCTCCTTGTTTCTTTATAGAGGGGCAGAGACAGCTCTCAAGTGACAGGAGCCTTACTGATAAGTGGGAAAATACAAGGAAAGCAAAGATCATTTGGTTCAGAGACATTCAGGCTCAGGCTGTTTCTGAAGTCAGTGGGAATCAGAGTCATTTATTTTTTTTCTGACTGTCCTCAGTTGCAGAGATGGGGAATTAATTGATTGTGGAAGGAAGACCCTGCTAGCCTGTTCAAAGTGTCTTGATCTCAATGGCTGCCTTCATGAGATCCCAGTTTGTATAGGAGCACCTCTGGCCATTTGGATATCTGTTTCCCATTAGGTCTTACCAGGATTTATAGAGTGCCAAATCATTCTTCAGTATAAATTGTAACGCATATTCATAGTCCATTTATCCATCAACATTCTTTAGTGAACCAGAAATCTATTTCAGTAGTAGGAGCAAATTTCATGTATAACATTGGAAAAGAGAAATTATACAGCATCGAAAACAAATATAGAAGTCAGGAAGGTCCTCCCACCTCTACCTCTTCAACTGGTGATCTTCTCTGGAATGTTAGCTTATGTGTCATTGCTGTTACAGCCACATCCCTCAGATTAAGTTTGTATTTCCATAGTAGCTGACAACTTCTTCTATAGTATTACTACATTTGTGATTTTTTTGTTGAATGTCTGTTCTCAGTACTAGATGCAGAATATCCATGCAGACTGAGACTGCAATACTGTTACGCTCATATCCAGGAACCAGGAAGAGTGTGTTGTGTCATAGTGAATATTTACTGAGTAATGAACAAAATTGGAAGATCTTGAGACCAAACCCTAGATATTTATGGAGTGGGCCTATTAGCCATCATTAAAATATATTGAGAAGGATTCTAAAAAGAAGACAAGTCACCAACTCACAGCAATGTTCCATTGGTCTTTTTTTGTCTTCTATTTTAATGCATTCTCCTACCCTGTGAGTTAAGAAGATTCTTGTAATTGGTGCAAAACTAAGTCTTTCTAAAACTGAGGTCCACATACAAATGGGAATTGGTTTCTCTTTTCTTAGGGATCTGTGAATTAGAAGCAAATGAAATATTTGTATAGAGATGAAAGTATATACTGAATCATGCAGATGAAGATTTTAAAGTTGAATATGACTATATGATTTCAAGATCTCGAGGTTTTAAAATACATTGCAAATTCTCCCACACTCCTCCCTTCAAAAAGGGAGTCTAATTTCTCTTCCCTTAAATATAGGCAGAAGTTAGTGACTTGCTTCTAATGAACAAAATGAGCAAAATGACATGGCATGACTCCAAGCCTAGGTTAGAAATGTTAATATGGCTTTCCCTGGCTCACTCACTCTTGGGGCATACATATGACCTCAGAGCAACCATATAAAAAATATGGCTTTCCCAAAGCCATATCTGGTTTCCATGCAGCAGAAACCAAATGGAGAGAGTGCATAGATATTGCTGGAAGAGCCCTAGCTAGCTGTCTTTCTAGCCCAGTACCAGCCTTGTGAGTGATGAAGACATTGAGATGACTTTAGCCTCAACTACCATCTGAGACTTCCCTGTCATGAAAGACCCAAGTCAGAACTGCACAGCTCAGCTACTTGTGGGTTCTTGACCCAAAGAAACTCTGAGAGATAAATGATTAGTGCTGTTTTAGTCCACTGAGTTTCGTGGTGTTTGCTACAAAGCAAAAGATAATATGGTATCCTTATTTGCAAGTGGGTTTATGATCACATTGGACCCATTTATTTACTAAAGGCAAATGAAAAGGACTATAGGACTAAATGCATGTGAAGTAAGGGAAAATATTATCAGTAATCCAAATAGAGAAAAATGACAGGAAAATCGTTTATCACACACAACTTGGTAATTCAGTCAGCCTAAGCTCAAAAAAAGTTTGTTCAATCAATACCATATTCCTGTTGCAAGCAGGTTTCAGTAAAACTATATTTGATAAATGCAGTCAATTTTAACTGTATTGGTTGTTGTTTTGCCTTTATTTTTTTAAATTCTACTTTACAGTTGCTTATATCTAGTTATATAAACATACCTTTAAGGAATGTTAGAAATAAAATTTTTAAGCTACACCAGAGAACCACAATTATTTTTTATTTAAAAGAATTCTCAAATTTGAGATTCAATGAGGGAGAATCTTTGGAAAGGCATATATACATAAAACACACTGTCATCTCATTATCTGTTGTTAAATGAATAACTTTTTCTATATTTACCTGAGACCTTTCTTCACAATGCCCATGCTTGTAGCAATTCAGTTGTTAGAGTAGTGTGTCTGCCTTTAAATCTCCCAGTCAAGCCTCATGTTTAAAACCCTATTGATGACAACATGGTTTTGGTTTGTGTATTCTTAGGACACATGGCCTGACTTTCATGACAAACAATCACTTATTTATTCATCTTGGCAACTAATGTTGGTAACCCACCCTTCTAATGTTCTCAGTCTCTTCAAATTAAGTTTTGGTGTAGGACACTTAAATTATATTTTAAATCAGACCATTTCAAGACTGGTGAATATGCTTTTATTCATTCATTTTTATATGTGGCTTAAACCAAATTAAAGTTTAATTTATTTATGTTCATATATTTAAAAATATCTGTGTCATGTGGGTGGTAGATATAACACAGAGCTTTCCACTACACACTGTGCAAAACACGAGGAAGTAGTCTGATTTCTCAAGTAAAACAATAGGTCATTATCACAGCAGTCACTTATTGTAGTTTTAAATAGTTGCACAGTCTGGTATTGAACATTATATCTACCTCATTTTATTTAATCCGCACAATTTTCCTAATTATTTAATTCAG